ACTGATTCTTGGTTGTGGAAGGTGGGAATTAGGTATAAGGTGAGTGATGGGAGTCAAATTGAGGTGTGGAATTCACCTTGGATTCAACATGATCATAATTTCATTCCATGTTGTCAGTGTTGGGATCTGTGAGGATCTCGTTATGTACAAGTCATGAATTCAATAGCAAACGTAAACCTATGCACAGCGGATCTAAAGGTTTGACGTAGAGAACTTACGGCTTAAAATTTATGTAGATCTGACTGATCACGAACGGTTAACCGCAATTGATTGACCACAAATCACGTCTTGGGTTGCACGAACAAGATCAGATCAAAATCGGATCAAACGGATGCAAACAGATCAAAACAAAACTTTGCAGCCTGGGAGATTACGGCGGCGCGTGAGGGCGCGTTAGACGTCGGACGGCTGCGATCTCGACGGCGGTGGAAAGCTCTTGTCGAGACAGTCGTCTGGGTATGTTGTACGTCTCAATCGGACTTCCGGTTAGTTCTGTAGGTCAAAATATATTTCGTCTCGGTTAGTTCTGTAGGTACTTGAGTATATGCTTCACCACATACCAATATTCCCATCCCGGATTACTTTGATATCTAGCTACCATGCCAACGGCGTAGCTAATATCTGGCCTAGTGCACAGGATTGCATACATGAGACTTCCTACTGCCGAAGCATAAGGAACTGTCTTCATCTCCTCTATCTCCTTAGACGTCTTAGGAGACATCTCCTTAGATAGAGGTATTCCATGTCTGAAAGGTAACATACCTTTCTTGGAATCCTGCATGCTGAATCTGGCCAAGACAGTACCTATGTATGAAGACTGGGATAAGCACAACATTATCTTCTTACGGTCTCTAATTAGCCTAATACTAAGAATGTGTCCTGCTTCACCTAAGTCCTTCATATCAAACTGCTTAGACAACCACACCTTTACGTCTGACAACTCCTTCTTACTGTTTTCAATAAGAAGTATGTCATCTACGTAAAGCACAAGAAACACTACCACGCTCCCACTGATTTTCTTGTAAACACAGTGCTCATCCGGACATTGAGTGAACCCGTACGACTGGATCACCTCATCAAAACGGATGTTCCAAGATCTCGAAGCTTGCTTCAGTCAATAAATAGACCGATTAAGCTTACACACTAGATGCTCACGACCTTCAGCAATGAATCCCTCTGGTTGTTGCATATAGATGTCTTCCTGTAGGTTCCCATTAAGGAAAGCTGTCTTGACATCCATCTGCCAGACCTTATACTCCATATGAGCGGCTACAGCCAAGAGAATCCGAATGGACTTAAGCATAGCTACTGGCGAAAAGGTCTCATCATAATCAATACCCTCGATCTGGGTATAACCTTTCGCAAGAAGCCTAGCTTTAAAGGTTTGTACCTTCCCATCCGACCCTCTCTTTCTCTTATAGATCCACTTACATCCAATGGGTCGTACCCCATCGAGTGGTTCTACAAGATCTCAGACCTGATTGGAGTCCATTGGCCCCATTTCAGCTTTCATTGCAACATTCCATGAATCTGCATCTTTATCTTGGAGTGCCTCATTGTATGTTCTTGGGTCCAATTCTAGGCCTCCTGGAACTGAGTCCGATGACTCTCTAAGACCTATCCATCGGTCGGGTAAATGAGAAACCATCCCACTGCGACGATGCACTGATGAACTGGTACACTCTCAGTGTGCCGTGTTGCAGTATTATGTGATGTATCTACTTGCGCACTCGGTGGGGAACCATCGATTTCACCCCTTAACTCCTCTAAGACTAGTCTACTCGGCGGCGATGGAAAGCTCTCGTCGAGACGGTCGTCTGGGTATGCTGTACGTCTCAGTCGGACTTCCGGTTAGTTCTGTAGGTCAAAATATATTTCGTCTCGGTTTACCTACAGATCTTCTACTGTATTACTCAATACACCCTTCTTCTACTTGTACCAGTGGAGCAACAAGAAGAAGATAAAGCTAGAATGAGATCTAGAGAGAGAGAGAGAGAGGCGTGGAGGGTTATTCACGTGTGATTAGGAATTCTCTTCCCTTCTCATGAGCTTAATGATGTATATATAGAGCTACACTAGGGACCCTTAGAAGATTAAAAAAAGGGTCCTTAATTAATTAGACTAACTGTGGGTCAAGCTCACTCCTCTAATTAATTAAATAATATTAATGGACCACCAACATTATATTATTGCACTCCCTTTTCCTAGCCCAAATTATATTTAAGACTCCAATAATAATTACTCGATTTACTTCCCCACGTTTAAGATATAATGTCCATTAATTAATTCGATTACTGACAATCAAGAATTAATTAATTTATTATTATTTCACCGAAGCTAGCGCTCGTCCATCACATTCTTATTATGCCGGAACTTAATCCACCTGTAGGGTTTAGCATAACAATCCTTCATGAACTCACTCCGGGGACATCATCAAACTAACGCACATGGTGACCGTAAATATCCTAACAACACATCCTATATATAATAATATTATCCAAAACAGTAGGAATATTAATCCAGCGAACTGAACCTTACCCATGTGAACCAAAGTAATATATATTATATATATCTGCCTGTTTAATATCTTACGGGTTAAGAGAACACAATAATTAACCGAGGCCTAGTTCATTTACGACGATCAGTATAAAATGAACTTCTCCTCTCTGGGATCCTGTTGAATACATAAATGTACTAGTGCAACTAATCAGTCAAGACGAACTGTACAGTTGACACTACAACCGTTCGGATGGGGTGTTCATGTCCATCTAGGTTGTGAACAACTATTCTTGTTCGCAAGTCACTAATAGAGTGATCTTCGGTTCGCCCGATGACGACCCACCCTATCTAAGTGAAGAACAACAGAACGTAGAACTTGTTTAATCTAACATGATTCTCATTCATAAAGGGTAAATGTGTAATAACATGCAAAGCCAAGCTTTCAGTATATAACAGTAACAGTCAGTTTCAGGGAGATAAGGTTAGGGTGGAGAAGGTTAGTGAGCTTATGATTGAGGGGAAAAGGTAATGGGATAGGGATTTAATTTTGCAAACATTTAACCCTTTTGTTTTAGGGCTTATACTTAAAATCCCTCTTGATCACTCTGATACAAGGGATAGCTTTTTTTGGCATTGGAACAAAAAAGGAGAGCTTACAGTAAAAGAAGTCTACAAGAATATCCTACACAACCATTCTATGGTACAGAAGCAAAACATAAGCACTTGCTCAGGTAAAAGTGCTAACCAAAGGATGTGGGAATTTACTTGGAGACTTCCAATTCAGAGGAAGATTAAAAACTTTTTGTGGAGGTGTTGGTTCATCTTCTTAGGGTCTAAAGTGCAACTCAGACAGAAAGGAGTGGAGGTTGGAAGAATAAGTGAAACCTGTGGTGATGAGGTTGAGGACTTGAATCACATTCTCTTCAATTGTGTTAAGGCTCATAGGTGTTGGCAACTTTGTGGAATTTCATGGGATTTACTGAAGGGTGGGGCAGGAAACTTTAACAAATGGTGGATTGAGGTCAACAATACCAGAAAAGCAAAGCACTGGGAGAAGAGGATTTGTTTGTCAACTTATCTCATGTGGACCTTGTGGAAAGATAGAAATTCATGGATATTCCAAAAAGAATACACTTCAAAAAGAAACTTAGTGGCAAAAGCTAGATGGGCTTGGAGTGAATTCTTATCTGCCTTGCCTAAGAAGAAGAGAGAAGACAGTGAGGGCAAGGAGGAGGAAGAGGAAACTACAAGTCACCCTGAGTTTGCAATAAGACAACTATATATACCTGTCAGTACTTGGTTGTGTGGCAAGGAAAGATGGCAGGATTCTGAACACATGGGCTGCAATGGAGGGATGCTATGGTACAGAGGAAGAGAACCAGCTGGCAGGTATCAAATGGGCCCTGGAGAGAGCAAGAGATCATAACTGGTTTAATTTTGTGTGCTTGATTGATCAACAAACCATTCTTATGAAGCTGCTCTCTGGCACTGGTTTTTCCCCTCATTTAGATTGTATTGTTCAGGAGATTATGCATTTAGCCTTAATTATTTGTAAGTGTTCTTTTATTTTTAGTGGGAGTTGGGGTGGTTTGTCTAAGTCTTTGGCTATTGATGTTGGTGAGGGCAATCAGTTGTGATGGTGCCTAGTGAGCCTACTTTGAGAATGTTAATCGATGTAGGCTTATGTAACCAATTGGTTATATAGGCAGACCTATTTTTGCGTTTCACGACTACATCGGAGTTCAGACCAGCACCATTGCAGAGCTCCATGCTGTTTGGAGAGCATTATTACTATGCCGGGACTTGACTTATGACCAGGTTTGGATTGAGCTTGACTCTGAGGTTGTTATATCACTCCTTACGACGACCCCCGACGGCGGCTGGCGAGAAAGAGACCTCATTCAGAAGATCAGAGCTCTATCAGATACTCTTGACGCCAGCTTCACCAACATCTACCGTGAGGGTAATAGTGCCGCCGACTACCTCGCAGGTTCCGCCTGCCGAGCCCGAGACTTTGTGCTATATGACGTCGCAGACTTACCTGGACCCCTTAGGGGCATCATCAGGATGGATTTAGAGTATCCCAGCATCAGACGTCCCCATGACGACATCAGACCATAGGGCTGACGCCCAAAATTTTAGCCAGCGAGAGATTCCATCTCCCTCCTTAGCTGGCCTGACTTCACCTTCACCCTAGGATTCTTCTCCTTCTTCTCTTCTTGTTAGGGCCCCTTTTGTTGGAGGTCCCAGTTTTTCTCTTGAGTCGACTAGGAGATTTGCCACCCATTATTGACAAAAAAAATGTAACCAATTGGTTATTCGATTGTATCTTGGACTACAATTTCGAGTTTTAATTTTAGT